AGGCTGCGATCCGCTGTCCAAAAGTGCACGAACCAGATGACCCTGACCAAAGGCATCAACGACTCTCACCAAAGCTGTTAGAAGAAAGACGTTCTCCTTGGGATGTTGAATCGGAACGCTAACTTCACAATCTGGAACATTTTCGATGGCTGCGACCGCAGATTGAATAGGATTTCCCATCGAAGAAGTTGGACGATTTTGATGAGCCTGTAACACAGCAGATGTACTCGGGACGGGTGCGTCAGAAGTGGCTCCCTGGGTTCCATCGCTAGTACCGGCATGCAAAAGAGAGTGGTGGCGTCGATTGCAATGTTTGCAGTTGAAGTCGGACGAACAATTTTTCGCTATGTGTTCTCCTTTCAAACAGTTGTGGCAGAGTCGCTTCTTCATAGCAAGTTGCTGACGTTGTGCCACCGAGAGACCAAGGAACTTTTGGCACCTGCTGATGTAATGCTCTTGCGAGCACACTGGACATTTGACCCCCGCTTTGGTAGTAGAAGCACACGAAGTAAGCCGAAATTGCTGCTGTCGTTTTGCCCCATGATGCGACGAACTTGGAATGGATGGAGGAGCATGGTGGTTGACTGAAATAGATTCCAGCACACGTACTCGTCGCTGCAGAAAGTCGATGAGGCACGGATAGTCAAGATTCTCCACGGTCGATGTGTGCACCTCCCACGCCTCGAGAGTGTTGTCATGTAGCCGAGTACAGAGCAGATGCTCAAGAATGCTGCTCCATTGACCGGTAGGTTCACCCATCTGCCTCAAGGTCTTCGTGTGGCGTTCGAACTCATCCACCAAGGCGTGCAGCGTCGATGATGTCTCCTTCTTCATGCGTTGAATATCGAAGAGTGCCTGCAAATGTTGCTTCTTCAAAAGATAATCGTTCGCATAGCGCTTTACCAAAGTATCCCAAGCCAAGTTGTAGTTCGCTGTACTGATTGCGATCGTTTCAATTAGCTGTGCAGCTTCCCCTTTCACTGCGGCTTTCAAATAATGAAATTTCTGAATTTCTGGCAAATCCCGGTGAATTCACGCAAATCCCGGTGAATTAAAGCCAAGAACGTGTCATGGAAACCCAACCACTGCATATAGTCCCCATCGAACTCGGGGAGTGAAATTGTGGGCAGCTTTAACCCAGAGAGAGCGGAATTATGGCCAATAGGTTGAGGGATTCGAGCGTCATTAGAAAGAACAGGAAGTTTAGATGTTAGATCGGCTTTTATTGCGAACAGCCTCTCTTCAAAGGCAGTACGTACCTCCTCATGCATTCGCTTACCTTGTTCGTCCTGCTCGATGGACTCCAGCTCCGTCTGCACGTCCTCCAACCTAGCCCAAACGTTTTCTATGTGGTCCAGCCGAATCTGAACCTGCCTTGCGTCCCTCGCAGCATCGTAGGCCTCAAGAAATGCCTCAGCCCGACCCAGAGCAGCGAGAAGACTCTCCCTCCGTGAAAGCAGCGCTTGGTTGTTGCTCCTGGGTTCTTCCATAGTGCAGCGACGAATCCAACTCCAACGGGATATAGCCAAGAATGACGAGCACTAGTCAAAAAAGAAGACCACGGTAGACCCGGAGAGAGACAGGTATTTGCTTGGAAAGGTACTCACCTATTCCAAGGCTTAGCGTGCCTTGATTTAATCAAAATCTTCAGGTATTCGACGAAACAGCCACCGAGATGAAAATCGATGTGATGAATACGCAACTGTATGCTTAATGCACGTGCGTAGCGATGTAGAAAATGCGCGGCTTGGCTGAAGAATGCTCCAGAAGAAAGCCTCAATTGTCCGCCGAAGAACAGTAGCGGACCTGTTTTGTGATCCACACAATGAAACAGCTCGAAGATGGCGCCGGATGGCCAACGTGGTGTGCCCCAATCAAGGATGGCGGCAATCGAGTTCTCGAACCTTCGAGACAGGTGCTTGAACGGAAAGAAACGAAGATCTAAAGCATACCTGAGAGATACGTGGGAAAAATCGGACAGGTAATTACCTGGAATCCGATTGAGCGAGCCTTGTATCAAATACAAATCAGAAAAACTCGAACAATCGACAGCTAGCAGGTGCTTCACCTTCGACCAGCAATGGCGCGTTCAGCCGGTCTTCTATTGTTCCGGACTGGAATAATGGCGGTCCCGTAGTGTCCACCGGCCGTTTATCCTGGTCACGACACCAAAAAATGTTCAAACTTACTCCTACGTTGTGTCTCAACTTTACGAATTGTGGCCACAGCACGGCCCCAGTGTGCGCACAGGGAAGAAAGTGCATACGATACACTTCACAATAGCAGAGATGCCAGTACTCCGAATGTCACTGCCAAGACGACCAGAGCGATACACACACTTGCAGATTTTGGATTGCACCAAACTAAGAACAAGAAGAGTTCTTCCACACCTTTTATTTCACCAGAAATATTCAGTTTAAATTTTAGGTTTATTCACTTTGAGCTACTACTAAAGACTGACTGATCTGAATAAATGATGATGGGAGGAAATGATGATGATGACGAAAAAAAACCCGAACACAAGTAACCGATAACATAAGGTTGCCAGTATAAATATATAATTTCGCCTGAACGGGCGAAAATGCGGTGCTGTATGGGCTCGCTACTAAAACCTTCACATTATGTTTCATCAGTAACTTTAAATAAACTTTCACTTAGCTTTGCCTTAATTTTAACTTGATTTCATCTTTAATAAAAGTATACCTTAATCTTAACTACACTTTTAATATTCAACTAATTAAACTTCACTTTAAATACAAATAAAATACATAATTGAGTTCATGAAATGCCTTTAACAATCTTGAACTTGAGGAAATTTCAAAGATTCAGGATCTATGAAAACATATCAAAATGTCACATTTAAAAAATGGCATCTTTGGGGATATTTTTCATCATTCTGTGTCTTTGAATAATTTTAACAATCCTATTCTAAGGTAATGAAGCTTTTTCCTTATTTGAAGATGCTTTCATGCTTGGACAAAAGATCGAATGACGAGAAGGAGGTCTAATGGTTTAATGAACAAAAGATCGAATGATGAGAAGGGGGACAAAAGGTGGGGTTGTTGGACAAATGGTAAAAGGACATAAGATCGAAGAACAAAAGGACGAATGACAAAAGGTCGAATGGACAAAAGGTTTAATGAACAATCTTGGATGGATGGATCTTGTAAAATTTTGAAAATTGTATGCTTGCTTTTCAAAAAATTATTGCGCAGAAACGGCATCTCTGATTGCTATGTTGTATTAGCCAAAGCTATAGAAACAAATAATATCATAATGGAAAAATAATCGAAACATGATTTATTATTACAAAAAAAAAACAAGTAAAATATATCATTATTTCAAATATCTGAACATTTGTAAAATGTTTCTTTAAAAAATAGTTTATGAAAAATTCAAGCTTTTGGAAAAAAATCGTTGATCAAGAACTTTTGGTAATTTTTTTAAACTTTTTGTTAGTATGCTGTTCTGTGTATTTTTTTTTTCACAGTAAATGATTTAAAATGTCTTAAACATTGTTTTCTGAGCATAGATTACATATAAAACGTTCTGAAAAATAGTTTTTAAAGTTAACCGAGACCTTCTTGACTTTTGTCAATTTTTAAGGGTCCATAATTTTCAAACGTGCCTTAAGTTTGCAACTTTTCAAGAGGATTTTTATAAATCGGTTTTTAAAAATCGGGCAAGGTCATTTTAATATATTTAGGGTTTTAATTTTTTTTTTAAATTCCTTAAAACATTCTTTTAACATTTTTCCCACAGAAACATGATTTTTCCTACAACTTTTTTTCAGACGTCATTTCGATCAGAAGTGCCGTTTCCATGCTATAATTTTTCATAAATATCAAAGAAGCCGTTTCACAAATTTGACAAGATCCAAAATGGCCGAATTTTAGCAAAAATTGACCCATAAAAAAAAATATACGAAGTTTCGTTCCAATCGCCCAATTAAAAATTTGGGTTTTATGAGGTTTCTGTAGACCATGATTTAGACTTGTAGAAAGCTTTAAAACCTCAATAAAACTTGCAATATTACTTGGGCGGAGAAGGTCGAGTTTTCCCGATTCATCGGTTGGCATGGAACTGCTCAATAGCCAAAACAAATTTTCGATTTTGATGATGAGTCAATTAATTAAACGCAACGGTTTATTAGGTCTGTCAAGTATTTTTTCCACTATTTGCCATCTCGCCAAGTGGGCTTCATCTGTTTTAATCATTCTGCATTTTTCCGTTCAACCTTTTGTCCCTTCTCTAATCATTCGACTATTTGTCCATTTGCTCTGTTGATCATTTGACCTTTTGTCTCTCCTTGAATCATTAGGCCGTTTGTTCATTCGACCTTTTCTTCATTAGACCTTAGTCATACGACGTTTTGTTCATTCGCATTTTTCATTTGAATTATTCGACAATTTGTCCATTCGACCTTCTGTCCCTTTTTGAATCATTAAACCTTTTGTCCTTTCGACATTTTGTCATTTGACCTTATGTCGTTCGACGTTATGTCAATCACCGGTGGGTTGCGAGCTTACTCTAATTTTTCGAAGTGGGTCTCAATCGGCAAACGTTTGAGATCCGCTTAGCTGTGGCGTTCGATCGGAAACACATATGTAACCAGTCGCAAAATCCACCAACCACTGTCCGTCTGGCGCACACCTCCTGCCTACACCTCTCTCGAACCGTGTAGCAGATTGTTTTCCATTTTGACTCTCTTCGCATTTCGCCGGCACGCAATTTTTTTTTTTCCTGAATTTTTACACCACCCATCAACATCGCGAGAAAAACTCTGCACTGCATCTCACCCGCGCAACTCCGGCGGTGCACGCGGTCCAATCTCTTGCACACTAACCGTGAGGACGGTTGCGGAGGGTGGCGGCTTAAGAGGCTGATAAACGAACAACGACCAAAAGAATCCGTTTGCGGCAGCCTGTTCGGTTCGAGCCACGCGAGTTCATTTGCGTCGATATTGCTGAACAGTTCGCAAGTGTGTGGTTGGCATGGCTGGCCAAGTGTAGTGCTGCTGTAGACTCTCCGGGTGCGCTAGTGATTGCAACGTATCTACGGTAGAAAGCGAAAGCGTCGTCCGATAACTGGATTCTGGGTGTGTTCTGAGCAAGATGCGGCTGCTGCGGGCCACACTAGTGGCACTGTTTGTCGTCGGGAGTGAAGTTCTGGCCACGCCGGTTGCAGCGGTGGCCATCGGCTGTTGTGGCGATCGGGATCGGGATCGGATCGATCCGCTCAAATCAGAGGTTAGTTTGCTGCGTGAGAGAAGAAATGGACAAACTGGCAATGTGTATCATGCTTCGGGGTGACTGGTTTGAAAATAAGTGATATAATTATGGCGTCGAAGCGGTTGGTTAACCCGGTGCGGATTTGAGACAGACGGAGCCATTTTTTCTGCAAATGTGTTGAACGATGGAATGTGCTTGATTCTACGGATTGGTCAATTGGCCGTGAGTGACGTGCAAGGTGAGACGACGGAGAATCGCGACCCATGTCTACGTGACTATGTGACTATAATGCGCTGCAGAATTTCGTTTTAGCATATTGGAAAACTTCTTGCCGAGAATCAACATTTGAAGTGATTAGAATCCGTAATCACTTCTCAATGCCTTCACGTTTATCATGGCTGCGGAAGAATTGAGCTTGATCGATGGTGCTTTGTTGCATAGTGATTGACAAATGGATCAGCTTCGGTGTAGGAACGCGAGTGAGGCAGGACTGAAGACTTGTTTTAGGTCAGTGTGGCGGGCCGAAAAAGAAACATGACAACCAGTGGTTAACCTTTTATGGTTTTGTCTTTTGACCCCTCGTCTTTCAGACCTTTAATTACGCCGGCTGTGGGTTTAAGACATGAAGGTGCATGTCGAGAAGTAGCATGATGCCAGGTCATTAATTTTTTTTTTCTAAGTGATCTGGTCTTATCGATGAAATATTAAGTAGGCAGTCATCAGGGTTCGTGGGTTGATCACTAAAAAATGATTTCATCCAATCCTTTTGCATCACCTAATGAGCAGGTAACATTATTGCCTGGTTTCCTAAACATTTTTTTTGTGAATGCTGACAACTTGTGCTACTGTGTACTTGATCGCCATTAACTTTGTGTGCCTTTGCGCTGAACCAATTAGCAACGCCGTGGCTAATGGAAGTTTAGATAACTTAACTGGCCGTAAAATTAACAAAGTCCTCGGGCGAAAATGGGCGAAATATGAAAACTTGACAGGTGTGCAAAACATTGTGCAGAAACTAGACCAAGACCGGATGAATTGTCACAATTGAACTAACGATTACAGGTAGAACGCACAGAGTTTATCGATTCACAACACTTTGAGAATGGATGGAAACTGAAAGTGATGAAAAATCCGAATCGAGATCGTGGGAAAATTTACCCTACTAGGGAAAGACAACCTGCAGAAATCGATGAAACGAAAGACCTACAATGGGTGAGAAAAACGAAAGATTGTTCGGATCAGACAAAGTGATGAATGAAGAATTAAGACGCAAAAAGTCGAATCAGCAAGAGATCCATGATGCGAAAGTTTAGCAAATTACCAACATCAGCGTTTAGCGGAACTTTATGACTGTCCATTGATCAAAACAATCAGGTGAAGTCGAATTCGATTGCAGAGCTGCCGAAGAATATGTTATTTTGTATTGCATCATAAACAAACAAATTGCTCATTATTCGGACAGTGATATCAGTGAACAGTGAATCGTGAGCCGAGTTCACAAAGCAGAAGAGACTGCAGAGGATCGGTTACACTGATAGTCTGAAGAAACAGCGGGAACATTTATCACTGTTATATTAGCGATGTTTTGTTTCCACTGACTACGACTTGTACATATCTCGCGAAACATTTGTACGCGTCGTCTCCATTCCGAAAATACCTACACAGCAAAAAAATTATTTTGATATCACTTAAGTGGATGCACTCGTTTAAAAAATGTGGTGTAACATTACTTGCCAAAAAGGACAAAATTATCAATAATGCAGTGCGTGAACTGACAGTACGTTGCTCTTACTGCATTTGTTTATTTTTGTGGCCATAAAAATTACATGATATTTTCAACATGATTGAAGTGCTGCCTCTTGGATGTAATATAAAAAAATATTTTTTGCTGTGTATATCGAAGGGTATTTTACATTATTTATTTAATTCAATTTAATTTATTTAATTTGTATTTCTTCATCGGACTTAACGTGTCTAAATGAAGCCTGATGGGGAAAAGCCTAGAAAAGGCGTACAAAACCCATATCTTTTCGAAATACATGAATCTAATACAATACAATTTAAACGAACATTAATCAAGTCTATAGCATAAAAAAAGTTATCCTCCTATGGTATAGAGTTGTCCGTGATCAGGTAGAAGTCCTCGTCATGCAGATGAAGCGGAAACAAACAATAAACAGGTAGCGCAATCCTTCACGTGTTCATTAAATGGACAGCTACTCACCTTCTCAGAAGTCTGCGTTGAATACGGTGACGAAAGGTTTCCGCTACACAATTGAAGTCGAAAAACTCGTAAAACTCGTTGAAACGCTCAGACATGAACCGTATTGGGTCATGCAAGCTGTAGTTCGCCGCACGAGGTCCAAGATGCAGGAAACTCCTCGACTGAAGAACTCGTTCGGGTGCGTAGATTTCGAATTCAGCCAAGATTCCTGGAGAGTCGATATCACCAATAAGTACTTTCGCTGCGAACACGGCCTGACTAATCGTCCGCTTACATATGTTCTAGTGTTTTAAGACCCAGAAGTTGACAACGATCTTCGTACGGCGGAAGGTTCACATGGTCATTCCAACGAAGGTGACGAAAGGCATACCGAACAAATTTCTTTTGAACAGATTCAATCCTCGCTATCCAAACTGCTTGATACGGGCACCAATACGGGCACCATACACATCGCACTAGAGAGCAGTATAGAGCTTTTAGACAGGTAGGATCGCGAAACTCGTCAGTGATCTTGAAAATGAACCCGAGTTGCCTGTTAGTTTTCGCAACGATGCCCGAGTAAGGAAGCTTGAATGTTAAGGCGCAGTCCAGCGTGATTCACGAACATTGTCCACACGTTGCAGAAGTTGGTGATTTATCGTATAGTTGAATGCCACTGGTTTCAGCTTGCGATGAAATGAGATAATATTACATTTTTGTACATTCAACGTGAGATAGTTTCTTGAGCACCACTCTTCGAAAGTATCGATTAGGTGCTGAAGCCGCAAGCAATCGGCGAAGCTACTAACAATCACATAGATCTTCACATCATCCGCGTAGAACGATCGGCAACCAGATGGGAGGATCAGTCCGGCCTCATTCACAAAACTCGAGAATAGCAATGGTCCCAAGTTGCTACCTTGAAGAACACCGGAGCTGTTTGTAAAATAGTCCGATTGCTCTGATCCGATTCTAACCCAAAGTTCCCGATTGGTCAGATAGGACTTGAACCAACGAGTTAAACCCGAGGATACACCGAGTTTTTCAAGTTTAGCTAGCAGTATGGATTGGTCAACCCGGTCGAATGCAGCCTTAGGATCTGTATATAACAACGTCCACCTGCGCTCCAGCTTCCATATTCCGAAGACATAAAGAAATGAATGGAGCTAGATTGGTTGAAACTGATCTCTTGGGATAAAAACCGTGTTGGTCAGGAGAAATTTAATTTCTGCAGCTAGAGAATAATGCGTCGTTGATGATGATTTCAAAAACTTTACGGCAGGCACTGAGTGATGTGATCCCTCGGTAATTTTCGACGTTTCTCTTGTCTCCTTTCTTGTAGATCGAGAACATGCATGACGATTTCCAACGCGTAGGAAACTCCCCCTGCTGTAATGAAATATTGAACAGCTTCGAAAGCGGTGTTGTAAGCTCTGAACAGCATCGCTTCAGGATGCTAGAGGGGATCCCGTTAGGGCCAGCAGCATTAGAAAATTTCAGCTTCTTGATGGCGGATTCGACGAGGTCTACTGTAACCGAGGTAGTCGAAAAATTGAAAGCATCACTGGGAGTGTCCCTCATCGCTTCAGCAACTTGGGACAACGAAGCCGTAGTGTCATTGAAAATGCTTTTGAAATGTTCTGCCAGAAGATTGCATTTCTCAAGGGAATTGCTGCCGATTCTATCACCCAGGTGAATTTCGACTGGTAGCCCCTCCTCGTTTCGTTTGGTATTCACGAATGACCAGAACTGCTTTGGATTAAGCCGTAAATTAGCCTGCACACGCCTTGTGTAGCTCTTGTAAAGAATGCGGTTATATGTGCGATATTCGTTGCTCGCTGTTGAAAATAACCGTTTGGTGAATGGGTTACGAGTACGACAGTATTTACGGAGGGTCTTCGATCTCAGACGCTTCAAATTCCGTAGTCGAGCATTGGATCATGCGGGTTTGGGAGAGGGTCTCCTCAATGGGACAGAATCAGTTATTGCCCGGCCAACGACCTCAGCAAAGTAGTTGACGGCTTCATCAATGGATGAACACGTGTCAAGGAACTGCCAATCTGCCTGGACATGCGAGTAACTCAGCGCGATCTGCTCTAAGAAAGTCGAGCTCATGTACATCAACAGGGGGGTTATCGTAGCGAACAGGAACAGATAGGTTGATGGAAACTTCCAACGCAGGATGATTGGTGTCGATGCCAATCAAAGGCTCTGGGGCTTCTATGATAGAACATTCCAGTCCTGCAGCTTCGTTCGCCAGAACGAGATCAAGCAGCCGAGAGTTGCTATGCAGTATCGAGTTGATTTGCGTTAAGCCATGCAGGTTGAAACCATCAAGGAGAGCACAGCAGGATGCGGGCATGTTAGAGCGAAGAACATCAATGCTAGGAAGATCGTTTGCAGGAACGTTCCATGAGAGCCCAGACTGATTGTAGTCACCAAATACCAGAGCTAGGTCGTTTTGTTCTAGTCGAGAGAACTGATGTGGTTTGCAATGCTGCTCGAATCAGATTTCCGGTATGGAGGTAGATACATAGCGCCAATACTTATTGATCTACGAGGCGTCGTTATTTTGACCCACAGCTGCTCCTAAGAAGTGCAAACTGGAGCAGGATCGATGCAGGAGCTTAGGCGTTTGGATATCGCAATCAAGACGCCTCCCACACGCGATTTGGTATTATTCTGGTGGTTGCGATCGTTTCGAAATACCGTGAATAGACTGCCAAATAATTGAGATGAATTAATGCGTCATCGAGCCAGGTTTCCGTATGGGGTATGAACCCGATGGCCACCATCTTGGATTCCAAAATGGCGT